TTTAATTATCTGAAGATAATTCGCGATTAAATGAAATCTGTTATTCGTACAACAACCCTCGACTAATCCGAGTCGAATAAAGATGAACGCGACGCTGAATTAAATCGTCGTTGTAAAAGTATAAATTATTCGATGGTTTATATTAAATTGATTCAACGAATTATCGATTGTCCGTGTTTCACGATGTCTTTCGTTCAATTGTCCATTTCTAATATCACAACACTTCTGATGATCAACGAATATAAATGAATTTAATTAATAATTATAATAATTAATAATTAATAATTATAATATAATATAAAACGTGAATATAGATGTAATGAATAAAAATCTGCATCATTTACACATAAATGTAGATTTACATATAAATATAATTAAATACATAATATGAATAAACAATGTCGTATTATATACAATATACTATATATTAAATCATTAGTATCAAAATTTAATATCAGTTTTTATAACAATGATATTTATCACGTGAATTATCATGAAATTAGGAAACCTTGATTCTCGCAATTCATGACAATTATTACATGTAAAATTGATTGATCTATAAATCAGTGTACTTTCTTTCTTACTTGCAAATTTGCAAATTGTCAATTTACAAACTGTAAATGATGGACGAGTCACGTGATGCAGTGAAACCGCATTTTACATCGTACGAAGCAGTAGCTTATGTACGTGTGTATTAAAGGCCAACAATGCATTGACATTTCAAAGTTCAAAATTTTGTTTCGATAGCGTGGAAAATCTTATGAATTCTCTGTCCAAGGCTCGAAAATCGAGAATGTCTACTTTTCTGACGCGATTCTTTGCTCAGAAATCTCAACCGAACAAATATGAATGAAGTGCGTCATGTTCTGTATCCTTCTTGTATTCCATAACCAAAACTTGTAAAAACTGTTAGAAATCAATTAGTTGTGTATGCAAAATATCTACCTTAATACATCTCACACGTTCGGCCGATGTACGCTTGCTCTGGCACACACCTGTTTAAATTCCCAACCGTCCGTATTCTGCGCAACAGAAACGCGCCTACACCATTCCACGAGAATCGCAATGATTTCGAGATCTCGATTTCCGACACTAACGACACAGCGATACCGCCTTTACTTTCGAACTGCGACACTGTCGATCGCGGCGCGAATCCGACCGCGATTTAAATCGCGCCACCTCGACATCGTTCGACACTGGTCGAGTAAACAAGCGAACGAGAAGAAGAAGCAAATGGGAAGGGCGATAATAATAACGTGAGAGGACGAGAACGAACAGGATGAAACGATACTCTACGACAAACCACGACTCACGACACTGACGGTTTGAGGTCGTCACGACGACTGACGGAATCGTCGACAGAGAGCGACACGACAGCCCTCGGCCGGGCCAACGCATGCGCCCTTTACACCCTGTGCCCAACCCTGTTTTTATAAAGGCCACCCTCATGCTACGAATCTCCTTTCGAATACCTGCCTGCTTATCTTTCTTTTTTTTTTTTTTTTTTTTTTTTTTTTTTTTTTTTTTTTTTTT